TCAATTGCGGTGTACAGTGTTTATTATGAGGGGGTAGAATCCACAGCTCAGTACTCACTACTCAATACTCATGAGTACTTTTAAATAGGCTACTCTTTTACTCTTACTCGAGTAGTTTTTTGGACAAGTACTTTTACTCTACTCACACTACATTTTTTGGAAGGTAATGGTACTTTTACTTGAGTATATTTTTTCAGTACTCTTTCCACCACTGGGCATTGGGTAGGTTACTGATTGAGGTACATCTGTCCTGACACGCATGTTTGTCAGCACCTGCACCTTCAATTTTCATAACACAGTTCTGGTTGTGGCGCTTTCCATAGGGACCCGTAACGTCAATGTCGACGTAACGTCGAATGTGACTGATTGAAAGGGAACGTCTCGGTTACATATGTAACCTTCGTTCCCTGAAGGAGGGAACAGAGACATTACGTCCCTCATGCCACAACCGTGAACTGCGTTATATATATTATATACCCGTATGTACGGGGAGTGGCTTAGCATGCAAATTCCACTCGCCAATTGTCATTGGGCGTTTCTCGTAATGCTCAGAGGTGATTGGGGCTCACAAGTGACACCCCTAATGTCAGTGTCGGCATAATGTTAATCGTGACTGACTGAAAGCCAGGGAACAAAAAGAGAACTATTTTTGAAAAGCTACAACTCATCCATTAATGTTCTCCAACTTTTGTCACACAGGTGTTCTGCTGAATGATGCTTTGGCATGGCATGTGAGTATGCCATCGGAAATTCACGGCCTGAAAGGTTCCTGTCTGGTTATACCATGTTCTTTCTACTACACATCATACCCACCCGAAAACCCATATAGAGTTGTGTGGTATCAGTGGGTCTCTAGAGGTTATCCTTTAGTTTACGATCGATGGTATCCAAATGATGTCATTTGGAAGTTCAGAAGGCAAACATATTTATATGGTAATCCTTCAAATTGGGATTGCAGTCTGCTGATTACAGGACTGGAACTGTCCCATCATGGAGAGAAATTATACACATGGATTGACCCTGAAAATGTTGGAAAGAGCACCTATGCATTTTATGATGTTACCTCTACAATTCTTATCGATGGTGTGTAAATATTTTTGGAATAACATTCTGTATACCACTGTAATATCTGTGATTGTCCACACGTAGTGAAATATTGTGTGGTCAGTAACAATAGACAGGATAAAATGCTTCCCCCAAATTGACTTCCTTTTAACTAGTTTATTTAAACATTTCAAAATAAAGGCAAGGCAATTTGCCCGAAAAAGTGTTATTTAAACATTTCAAAATAAAGGCAAGGCAGTTTGCCCGAAAAAGTGTATGTATGCTCAAGACAATAAAAAAAAAAGCACTTTTCAGTTTAATTTAATGAAATGAGAAGTTTAAGTTATATAGAGATAGCCTATAGATATTTTTCAAAGTGAAGACAAAAAGTCTTGGACACTTTGTGAAATGTGTTTTATGTTAAAATGAAGTACAACGGTGGATATTTTACTGTGACACAATATGAGAGGAACTATCTTACATCTATGAAAACTGGGCTTGAGACCAGTTGATTAATAATAATAATAATAATAATAATAAAATAATAATAAAAAAAAGTGAAGCTAGTTCTGAAATAATTTGTTTGCAGATGCCTGTTGATTTTGTATCTAATGCAAAGAAATTCAAATATTTCCAAGTGTCCAAATACTTAAATATTTTTAAAAAGCATATTATGTACAAAGTCTAATGTTTCTGTCCATTATAGCAAGTCCACAGCAGCCCAGAATCAGTATTTATGGAGGTGAAAGGACAGGTGACGCCATCACAGTAGAATGTTCAACTTTCCACACGTGTCCATTCAGCAAACCAGGCATCACTCTCAATGGTATAGAAGGAAATGACCAAATCAGGGACGAATCTATTAAAAACGGACCGTGGAAAACCACTCTAACACGCACAGGTGTCGTAAAGGCAGAGCGCTTGAAAATTGAGTGTTCAGTAACACATTATGGTGGCATAAAAGCGACAGCTACACAAGAGAAAAGTGCACAATGTGAGTCAACACAAATATGAACTGCTTTGTGTGCTATTAACTGTAAGCAGGGACGTGCACAGACATTTGGGGGCAGGAGCTCAAGTGGAAAAAAAGGGCACTTCTCATATTTATTTTTATTTTTTTGTTCTAAACAAAACGTAAAATATAACGAGGTGTGTGATATTGACAAAAAATATATATCAATATTATCTGGGATTTCATCGATAATGATAATTAGACGATATTTTGCTGAATGTGTTATTGCGCTGATATCTTAAGGACTACCGTAGACAGCTGACTCCTAAAGTTTTTGATATTCCGCATATTCTGTGTGGTGGTCAGTTCATAGCAGTGATAGAAATTAATATTTTCCAATAAGTTTAAATAGATTTTTACCTTTTATGGGCATTTTTACCTTTATAAAGCCATTTTTTCTAAAAGTGTGCATCATCCTTTCAGTCAAATTCTTAAACTGAATCAGTCAGTTAGAATAACAAGTCATTTGGGCTGTTACCAAGCAAATTAAATCAGTATTGACAAAATTAATCTTTGCAATGCAGAGAAAACAGAAGCTGCATTAGAAGTGGCATTAGATGCATTTACACGTTGTTTAATGCAGGACATGAATGTATTTAACCTGCAGTTACAAATGCATTAATACTGTTTTGATATTTTAAACATAAAACGTTGAATACTGATATCTGAAATTATTTTTTTAAAAATGGAAAGATACTTTAAATGTGAAATTAAAACTGCCAGCAGGTGGCAGCAAGTCACTGTTAATAAATGAGTCATTGCGATTGAACCGAATCATTTATACGGTTAATTAATTCAGGAACAAATCAGCGTCATGTTGCTCAGAGATGCAAATTGGAATTATATTTGTTGGCGAAATACAGCAAAAACAGGCAATATTGTGTCTAAAACTTAAGTGTCTTAATATTAAATTGTTGTTTCTTGAACTGCTGTATAAAATCAATATCACATTTGGAATCATGCTGCTTTTTTGGTGGAAAAAAATGCCAGTCTTCGCGTGATACTGATTAACTATATGATATACATTTCTGCCCCCATATCTTGAATTCTGTGATCATTCTAAGATCATTCATTTCTGGAACTCGACAGCTGTGCGTAAACAGAAACACACACACACACACACACACGCACACATATATACATATATTCATTTATTTAAAAAAAAAATAAAAAATAATAAAAAAAAGGGCACTTTCTCTCGAGGAAGAAAAAGGGTAGGTGCTTACGCCCCCTTTGATGTCTATTGGCGCTTTTCCACTGCATGGTTCACTTTTGGGTTTTTTTCCACTGGGTACAGTACCTGGTACTTTTTTTTAGTACCACCTCGGTTGAGGTTCCAAGTGAACCGTACCATTACCAAAATGTGACGTGTAAACTCTGCTGATCACTGATTGGCCGGAGAGAATCGTCACTACCTTGCGTCACTGAATTTACAACAGAGACACAACAGAACCAGTGTTGCCAAATTGGGGATTCTGTCACCAAATTTAGCTACTTTCTCATTGTAGCTGCGACTTTTTTTTTTTTTTTTCGACAAGGTTTACTTTCCTTTACCTTTACCAAATTTACCTGTATTTACTTTGTTTTCATATTTGGCGACTTTTTGTAAAAAATTGAGACTTTTGAGGGTGGTTCTAGAGATTTTCTGAGGGAGGGGTTTGGCAACACTGAACAGAACCGCTAGATTTAAATCAGCACAGCCGAGCGCACCTTTTTTTAACAACCAAAAAATGGTTGTTTCGTTGTCTGTTGAGGAAGTACAGACGTTCCTCTCGTTGATAGCAGAGGAGCGGATCCAGCGAGAGCTTGATGGGGCGACACTGAATGAAAAACTTTTGTAGGAGTCGCAGCAGTAGAGGCGGCGCAACTATAACGACGTGAATAATCCCGCCCACTCTAAAGCGGTACTAAACTGCAGTGGAAACGCAAACCGTGCCGAGCCGTGCCATACTACGCAGTGGAAAAGCGCCATTTGTGTGCACGTGCCTGACTGTAGGTTCATGTTAAATCTCACAGTGGAACCTAATAAAAGATTTCAATCCAATTTCAGGTGTTCATCATAAAATAACGATTGAGCCTGAACTGGCAGATGTCACAGTGGGCATCGCAAAGAACTTCATTTGTAGGGTCTACCATTCCTGTAAGAACAAGAATCCAACCATCACATGGAACTATGAGAACATGCAGGTCACAACGGGGAGCAAAACACTTTCAGGTTTAAATCAGATCAGCTATTCCAGCATAACCTTTCTGGGTGCAAAAGAAGATCATGGGAAGAAATTGATTTGCACTGCAAAATTTTCTGGAGGATACATTTCAGCTTCTGTTGTTTTACATGTACAACGTGAGTAATTTGTAAGCATCACGGTATGCTATGTTATTTCATAACAGTATGTCTATCCAAGCTCAAAACTTGATCTTTAATATAGTTCTTAATTAGTTATGTGACTGAAAGGAGAAAATATCGAAAATGGTAAAGATAATTTTTAATTTTAATTTATTATTATTATCACTTTTTTTTTGTTTGTTTGTTTAATCTACCATTCAGCCATTTAATGTTCTCCAACTTTTGTACCACAGGTATTCTGCTGTATGATGCTTTGGGATGGGAAGTGAGTATGCCGAAAGACATTCATGGCCTCAAAGGTTCCTGTCTGGTTATACCATGTTCTTTCAGCTATAAATCAAACCCACCCAAAAACCCACGTAGAGTTGTGTGGTATCAGCGGGTCTCTACAGGTTATCCTTTGGTTTACGATGCATGGTATCCAAATGATGTCATTGGGAAGTTCAGAGGAAAAACTGATTTATATGGAAAATCAGATTGGGATTGCAGTCTGCTGATTAAAAATCTGGAACCGTCCCACAATGGAGAGAAATTATACACAAGGATTGACCCTGAAAATATTGCATGGCAAAACTATGAAACTGATGATGCTACCTCTACAGTTCTTGTCGATGGTATGTAAATGTTTGTGGAATAATATAGTTCCTCTGGAACAGCTATGATTGTCCAAGTGAAATATTGTGTGGCCAGTAACAATAAATACTTCCAAATAAAATCTCCCAAATTAACTTATTTCTAACCAATTTATATGTTTAAATAACATTTGAAAATAAAGGCAAGGCCATTTGCCCAAAAGTATATTTTTATACATGTCTTTGCATTATATGTCAAAATATTAAAACAAAAAAAAATATTTTAAAAATGGCTCAGATAAGCTCTAGAACCACTTGTTTGCAGATGCATGTTGGTTTTCTATTTAATGCAAAGAAATGCTGATATTTTAAAATGTCCAAATAGTTTTTGGGGCCAGTGTACATTTTTTAAATATTATATAATGCACTAATTCTACTGTTTCTGTCAATTAAAGCAACTCCACTGCAGCCCAGCATCAGTATTTATGGAGGTGAAAGAACAGGTGAAACCGTCATAGTAGCATGTTCAGCTTTCCACACGTGTCCATACAGCAAACCAAACATCATTCTGAACGGTATAAAAGGATCTGACGAAATAAAGGATGAGTCTGTTAAAGACGGCCTGTGGAAAATCACTCTGACACGCACAGGTGTTGTAAAGGCAGAAAGCACGACTATTAAGTGCTCAGTAACACATTATGGTGGCATAACAGTGACAGATACAGAGGTCAAAATTTCAAGATGTGAGTAAATGAATATGTTATGCGGTAAGTTCACTTTAAATATCACAGCAGAAAATATTACACTATTTCATTTCAATTTCAGGTGTTCATCATAACATATCGATTGAGCCTGAACTGGCAGATGTCACAGAGGGCGTCGCACAGAACTTCACTTGTACCATTTACCATTCCTGCCAGAAAGAGAATCCAGCCATCACATGGAACTATGAGAACATGCAGGTCTTAGAGTGGAACAAAAAGCATTCCGATTTAGATCACTTTCAGGTTGCATTTTCCAACATAACCTTTCTGGGTGCAAAAGAAGACCATGGGAAGAAACTGATATGCACTGCAAAATTTTCCGGAGGAAACATTGAAACTTATGTTGTTTTGCATGTACAACGTGAGTAATTTGTTTGCATCATGTATGTAATTTAATCTCTTTATGTCTCGTTATTATAGTCGTGTTTTATCTATTTTTGTTTTTTGTAAACCTTATAACTAAAGAAATTAGAAAATCTCTCAATGGTGAATATTCACCATTGAAAATATGCCTTGTAATGTCTTCATACTAAATTGTGGTTGATGTTTCATGCATGTATTTGTTTACTGAATTGAGAACTTATGATTTACGCAATCATGTGAACGACAAGTTATGCAAAATAGAATTTGTGTGTTACTGCATTCAAATGCCACACTTCACTTACGCTATAACCAACCATAATTGTTTTATATCAATTCTCTTACAGAATATCAAAAACCAGTGGATCAAATCCTGAATGAAAGTATGTGTTTTCCCTTTTGTAGCTGCTCTCATATTTGTATTACTGTATTGCACTGCACTCATAGGCTTTTTGGCAATGAAATGTTAAGTTCTGTAATAATGATTCATTATATATCATTTTAGCCTATTTCCAATACGTGGCAGATGTGATACCCAAGATCACCGCGTTGCCTCGTTCGTGTGTGGTAATACCGTGCAGTTTCAAGATGGAGGAGGAATATATCACTCGACTTCGAGTTCTTTGGGTCACCAAAAAAGGTGGCTTCATGTTCCACACCGACCCAGTCGATGTCTTGGACAACTTCAAAGGCCGCACAAGACTCCTCGGAAACCCGGATGAGCAAGACTGTACTGTGGAGATGGATAATGTGCAAACTCATGACAACGGGCCGTTCTGCTTCCGAGCAGAAAGAGAAAATGAGAGATACAGCTTCAACAACAGCTGTGTGTTCATTATCATGAGGGGTGAGGAAATGTAACCAGTCACTTCACATACTTTTGAAAATGTACTTCATCCATCATATCCCAAAACTAATGTAATGTCTTTGTGTTAAAAAAGCACCCAACGGACCTGTGATGTCATCCCTCCCTGAAGACATCGAGCCCGGGACACGAGTCGCCGTCAAATGCTCAGTCAACCACACATGCTCCTCTCACCCTCCCCAAATCACCTGGAGCGTCCCAACAGCCCGAGAAACTATCAGCCACAGTCACATGGGTGGAGGCGTCTGGGAAACAGTGTCCGCTGTGATCTTTATTCCAACTGGATATGAAGAGAAAGATGAAATTGTCTGCACCGCCAAATTTTGGGGTGGTAAAACACAGGAAAATACTGCCTTCCTGAGTATTAGAAGTAAGTACAGACTGATGTTAATGAGATAAGTTTGTGCATTGGTCCGTGTTTTAATATGACTTCTCAAATAGAAACTACTTCATGTTGTATAAGAGTTGAATATTATTGAGGTGTGACTGGTAATCCTGTTGAAATAATATTGTAATAGGAATTCAAGGGCTTAATTTGGAGACTGTCGGGCTTTATGCCATAGCTCCCTCACTTGTGTTCATCCTCATTTGTGTGCTTGCTGGAGTCTTCATATGCAAGAGACGGCACAGGTAACTTTGCATAGCTTATTCTCATCTTTCAGAATTTTTGTATTAACTTTTGAGGTCTGTTACAGAAACTGTATCTTACACTGTAAAACCTAATTGAGATTGCTCCAAACATTTGAGGAAGCTTATTACCTCAAAACATTTGAGTAAACTCATTTTCTTAAAGTTAGTGGAGCTTCAAATTTATGTGACGGGTGGGTGCTGAGAGCCATGGGAGCCAAACCAAGCCAAGCCCACTCATCACAATGATAATATACAACTAGCTATCAAAAAGGACTGTCACTACTCACTTACATGTAAATAGTCAAACAAAATGCAATATATGTAGTCTTAAAGGGGTCATATGATGCGATTTCAATTTTTCCTTTCTCTTTGGAATGTTACAAGCTCTTGGTGCATAAAAAAGATCTGTAAAGTTGCAAAGACTAAAGTCTCATTAAAGTTTTGCTGTCCATCCTCAACCTAACCACAGGCTCTACTCTTCACCACAACGGTAACATTACAAAACCAACATAACAGAAACCTCTAAAAATCCTGACATAACACAAAATTAATTATTATATTGCTCATCAAAACATTATATGCTAATTTCTCTCAGTGTTAATCTTGTGCAAAAACACACAAAATAACACTTAATTTCAACATTTATTTTCCTTATGCAGTCTGATGCAAAGCATGCTTAATTTTAAGTTCAGCTTACTACAAAGACATTTTGAGTTCACAGAACTTTTTTCAATTAAGAACAATGAACTTTCATTATTATTTGAGTAAAATTAACTCATTTCATTTAATTCATTCCATGATTGGTTTTACAGGGTAGAAATGCTTTAAGGTATTGAAACTAAATTTTGTGCATGTCCCGTCACCATCCTGAGATTATTGGAGCAGAATGGACACGGCACCACTTACTGGTCAAGAAATCTTAAAAATAGCTTCAAAGTTTAAAAACATTTGCCCTAAAATCATGAAACTTTGATGAAACAATGTTCAGTTAAATTTACTTGCAATGATTTTGCTAATGCTTGTCTGTTCTTGTCAGTCAACATTGACAAAGTCTCAGTTTTATATTGTCATTATTGATTGTAGACAGCCTCATCATGATATGCAAGGGTCACGTACACAAGCTGAACAGAGGTATGTATGACACATATTATTTAATCAGATTTCACTCATTAATTCATGTTAAAAGCTTTCGATATCTAATAGCAATTTTAACCCTGTTCTCTGATGTAGGAGATCATTTTGGAACAGATTCTCAAGGTTGGAGTTTTCTTTACTAAACTTATCTTTGTATCTTTGTATTTGGTCCTGAGACTAAATTTTAAATTTCTCCGCCAGTCGTTTTAGTATGCCTGAAGGAAGAGCGGCTTGGACCAATAGAGGAAACCGGAGTAATAACAGGCAAGTTAAACAAACCAATAAATAAGTTAGTCTTTGTTTCTAATCCACTAACTAGTGCTATCTACAGGTACACTGGAAATTCTCCTGAAAGACCACCAAAGCCTGAACAAAGGCAGGTTGAAAGTATACTTATAACATTATGAACATTGTTCAAAAATTAATCATACTTTTTAAACATTACATGACTATTTAAACGTTGCATCTGTTAACAGACGGAGCATCTGGAGCCGATTTTCTAGGTAATTAGTCTACTACTTATTGTGTTTATTTTGAGTAGTGTTTCATAAACAAATATTATCCTCTAATTTTGTTCTCTTTTTGTTGTAGACACCAATCACCCAGAACCAATGCAAATCTGAGAGCAGAATACAAGTAAGTATTCCATGTGTAAGATAGTATGATTCCTTACATTTAAAAGATGATAACTCTCTCTGTCAATGAATGGCTTACTTATAGATGTCTTTGCATATTAAACATATATGAGAAAGTAGTTTAATATTTTTACACACACATATATATATATATATACAGTGGTGTGAAAAAGTGTTGGCCCCCTTCCTGATTTCTTATTTTTTTGCATGTTTGTCACACTTTAATGTTCCCACTAAAGTGGCATTACTGATGAACCTTCTCTCTTCACAGGGCGAACAACACATGTACAGTGTCAGGAAACAAGCCTTTCTCCAAACCTCATATGCCGTCACCAAAGAGGTACAATAGTGCATTGGAACAACACATGAGTCCCTCAAAGTCTAAATCCATTACATTCATGTTACACAGCAAACATAATACTATTGAATGCAGTGTGTCATAGTACAGGTCCCCATGGAATTTCAAGATTCCTGACCTTGGTAAAAGAAATGGAAAAAAAAATTGTGGATTTTTTGTAATTCAGAAGCACTGTTCTTTTATTTTGCTTATGTGGTTTTTAAATAAAATCATAAAATGCTAACATTTGTGATTTCTTACATTCTTATTTTTCTTCATGCACCTCAGTGAGCCAAAATCCTACCGTGTGAGTACATTTATCACTACATTTGCTTTCTTACAGCATGGAAAATATGCTTCAAATGTCTGAAAAAAGCTAAAATATGACTGACCTTGGTATCTCCTTCAATCTTTCTTTTAGGGTTATGATTATGATGCTGATTTGACCAACATATATGGAAATTGCTGATGAAAATGTTACATCATCAAGTGCTCTGACAGATGGATAACGTGGTTTGAGTCCAAATCACATCATTTCTCCATTCTGTCCACCTGTTCAACATTACTGTTTTATAAAAGGAAGATAATGAAAACAAATAATTTTATGGCATGATGCTATTATGATATTATGAAGTGTTTCCTTTTAGAATTGTAAATGCATAAACAGTCTTTTTTGAGTCTGTAGTTTGAATTGACTATGACATGTTTTTATGCTTCACACGTTATTCTGTAAAATCACTTTTTTGTTTTGCTTTTGTGAAATGCATTGCATAAATTCTGCTTGTTCTACCATCATTTTAAAATAAAGAAACAAACATGCAGCTTGTGGCTTAAGTATTCACAGTAATTTTTGTGTCTCAAAGATGTTTGTGTCTCATAGATGATTTTAATATGATAGGTCAAACTGTTGTTCAGAAACTGTACTTCATGATCTATGAGAGATGTGACTATCCTTTTAAAATAATATTATCATAGGAGTTCAAGGCAAGTATACCAGACTGCACCTGGGGCGTGGCTCAATGTGTTGCTCCACCCCATACATACTCTGATTGGCTCAACTGTACTTTGTATTTAAGTAAAATTAAGTACAATTGTACTTAATTCATAATAACATCAGACTGAGCTCTAACCCATTTAAGGTCTATCTTATTTTTGACGCATTAGAAACCTTTCTTACTGGAGTAATATTTTATTAGTCTTTCTCTACTTTAACCCAAGTACGGGGTTTGTGTAGCCTACTCCTTCCACCAGGAATAAACCTTTCATAATTAATTTATCTTCCCATTGCTAATGTCAGCTGATTTTGTATTCTCGGTGCATTATAGCGAAGCCTTTGTGAAACTATCAGGGGTCCGTTTCCCAAAAGCATCGTTAGCTAACTGTGGTTGTTAGTTCTATTGAACTCTACGACGGAACTTACGACCATAGGTCTTTTGGGAAACGCACCCCAGAGTAGTTATGGGGCGGAGCGACACATACAGGCCATTCCGCAGTCTGAAGCCCAGTCCTTCTTGTTCAGGAGGTTAAAGTGGAGACTGTCAGGCTTTGTGCTAGCTCCCTCACTTGAGCTCATCCTCATTGATGAGTCTTCATATAAGAGACGGCACAGGTAACTGTGTGTATGGCTTATTCTCATCCTTCAGAATGTCTGTTTTTACATTTGATGTCTCTGTGTCAAACTGGATGCCAAATAGAAAGTGAGGATGTATCTTAAGAAATGATCTAAGGCATTGAAACCAAATTATTTTTGCATGCTGGAAGGTGTAGACATTCAAGTATTTACAGTGTAGTTCCCCTCCTCTTTCTGACGCCAACCTTAAACCTTCATTCACTTAATGAATTTTATATTTTGCCATGCTTGATACTAGATTCTTACACAATCCATTGTTTGAGCAGGGAACTAAGAATGGTAGTAAAAAAAAAAAGGGAAATTCTATGTTCAATTTAAGCAAACAACATGAGTAATAATTTATTTTGAAGCCACATTCACTTCTCTGTATGGTAGTTTCTGATGGTTACAGAGAACAGCTGAAGAAAACCAAAGATAGGCAGAAAGTACAAAAAAAAAAACCCTGCAATTTAATTGGTACACCAGTGTAGCTCCCTAAACGAACATTTCCATTCTTAAGACGGCAATCAGGAGAATGACGGGGCATTTGTTACTTTATTTAATTTTTCAAGGTACAGTCTGTTTTCTTTAACATTTACATGTGGTAACACTTTATTTTAAGGTGTCTTTATTACACGTTACATGTACTTACTATTATGATAACAATTATGCATAATTAATTATGCATAATTACATGCAAGTAACCCTAAGCCAAACCCTAATGCTAACCCTAACCATATAGTAAGTACATGTAGTTAATTAATGTTACTCTGTACTTAAATGTATAATTACACTGTAACAAGGACACCTTAAAATAAAGTGTAACCTTAAATTTTAGCTACTGTACAATTATTTATACAATTAAATTATAACTTTAGAATGATAAATGCTACATGCATAAAAGTGGAACAAAATTTGAATATTTCCAAAAACAAATGCAAGAACGGCACAGTATTGACAGTATATTGCTACTGAATTAATCAAATTTGTGATTGTGATTAAACCAAATGTTTTTGGAAATAATATTCTTTGTAGCAATGATTGTGAAAGGAAACATGTATAATCCTAATCAGGCATAATAAATTCAGATGACTAGCTGTGTTACACATATAGTAATTTTATAGTACACATAATTAGCACTCGTGTATTATAAAGGTCTTAAAACAGACCTTTTTGTCAGAGATAAGATCAAGGAAATATTTTTTCATCCTGGGGGTGGAACTCACATCAAAATACTGAGTTTTGTGAATATGCTTCTCCTTTCTCTACAGAAGACAACTGAAAAGGTAAGAATGAAAAATTGTGTGTCGCAGGTTAATGTGCTTCAGAAGAAGACAAGGGATGAAAATAAATGTATGCATATATATATATATATATATATATATATATATATATATATTATGAAAAACTACAATTTAGTTGATAAACTAAAGCAATGCTGCAATTCATCCATTATTAACATTTTGTTTATGTATTGACCCAGGAACATGAAAGCATTGCTTCTACTTCATTTATTTCTCCAAGTTTGTTTTCCACAACCAAATAAAATCAAATACAACATTCCCCATATCTTACACACACAGAAAAACTTTATACAGTGCCATCAAAACCAAATTATTGCCCACATTGCCTACATGCGTGTTGACACTGTCACATTTCCCAGGTGAAAAAGACGTAGTATTAAATGTATTTAAAATATACTTGAAATTTTAGATTTAGACTTAAATTTACAGTTAAATACCGTAATTTCATTAACTTGATATAATGTTAATATACCAACCTATTGAAGTACTGTAATCTGT